AGTCTCTAGAAGCGGATCTTTCGCCAGCGATTTCTGCTCTAATCCCTTATCAATGTTGTCTAAATGATCGATGAGAGTCTCATTAAGCAGATCCTCTCCCTTTTGAATGACACTAGACTGAGGCGCTTCCAACATGGCGTGAGATTTTAGATGCAGCATGGGCGAAAGAATGAGGTTACCTTGAAGAACTCCTTCACTAGGTGCAGCCGAAAAAGACTCTGATTGTGACATTTCGAGTATTCTGAAGCATTCGCTTGCAAATGTGGGATACACACGCGACTGTATTTTCTAAGAAGAGGACATGTGTTTTTTAAAATAGTGGTATAATGAAGGACAAGACTGAAAAATTGTTAAAATAAAATTTCTTTATAGTTACAAGGATACAAGCTGTGTACAAAAGAAGTAGATAGGAATTATAGTTAGCAAGCATTACGATCTTATAAGCTAACTTGTGGACCCTGGCATTTTCCATAGCAAATCGAAGTACTAGGATACTAGCCCTGATATGTTACGTTCAAAAATATCAGTATTTCAGTTTTCTATGCATGTTTCCCAGCTGTAAGTAAGCACCAATGAAGCATTCACGATACCGGTTTTCTGTGTTCTAAATCTGATTACTCGAGGTCAGAGAGTTATATAAAGTGGAATTCACATAAATTAAAACGAACTTAAATAATTTATTTGGTCATTTATCGATTAACAGAATCAAAGTGACGATAAAAAAACAAAACGAGAGTAAAAATTATCTCCATAGAACGATCGTTTTTCAAATGAGAACAATGGGATAATTATTGACGCGAATGCATCCGCTTATGTTTCTATGGGGTATACTTTAAACTGAATATTTATATCCTATTATAGCTACTTGACGCCGCAACTGCCAGTTAATATCTCAAGTATAATACCACGAATGCCGGAAGGCAACAGTAATTGAACTGCTTGTGGTCAAGTAACTAAATATGTTTTTTCTTCAATTATATGAACCAGATAATCTGTGTCAAGATCCAGCTGGCTAAGCAACAAAT